TTATTTATATAAATTTGGTAGAAAACAATCATGAAATTTTTTATTTATATTAATTTATAAATGTAATTATTTGTATTAATTTAAAACCGTTCATAATTAATAATTATTATAAATAATTACTTATTATGTCATGTTATTATAATTTTTTATATTAATAATTTTTTATAAAACTTTCTATAACATTATTTTCAATAAAAATATTCTATCAAATATTAATAATTAGTAAATATTATTTTTAGTCTTTGTAATATATTTTTAGTTCTGATAAAATGTATAAATTTTGATTTTGATCCTATACAATATTTTTCTTTTGATTTTCATCTTTCTAAAATTTAAAATTACTATTATTGATATATAAAGATAAATTTAACAAAATTAAAAAATAATAATTTTTAATGATGTAATTAAATGATATAATTATTATTATTTAAATTTAACGTACACAATTAATTGTAATTATATATTTGTGTAAATATCCTTCTAGAAGGAAACTTTTTTAAGATACTTTTTGCAAAAATTTTCTAATTTTAATTTATTTTAAAGTCTTCAATAATTATTAATTAATATAATTAATTTTTTATTATCTATCTATCTATATATATATTTTTTAATTTTACATATATAAAGATATAATATCTTTCAACAATTTTATTAATAAAAATATTAGTATATTTGATATACATAATTTTTTTAAAAGATGCAATTGATAATTAATATCATTAAAATTTTGTGTATTTTATAATACCTTTGTAGTTTTTACTATTAATATTAAATGAAAAATTATTTATATAAATTTGATAGAAAACAATCATGAAATTTTTTATTTATATTAATTTATAAATGTAATTATTTGTATTAATTTAAAACTGTTCATAATTAATAATTATTATAAATAATTACTTATTATGTCATGTTATTATAATTTTTTATATTAATACTTTGTTATATATTTATGAAAGTTTCATAAAAAATAAATTTGGTGAAAATTTTTAGAAAAATAATATCTCAATGCATAAAATTATTTTTCAATATTTTTTTATCAAATATTAATAATTAGTATAAATATTTTGCATGAAGTTTAGTACAATAATTGATTTTAATCAAATTATGTGATTTTTCACATTTACAATTACTTTAAAAATGTAATAATTAAGTAATAAATAACTCTAATAATTAATTAAGTTAATCTTTTATGACGTTATTACAATTTTCTATATGTAGAGAGAGGAACAAATGAGGTTTACGGATTAGGGATTTAACTGCTTTCAATTTGGCATTATTGGAGAAATGGAATTGGGGGATGTTAGTGGAGACTAATAGTTTGTGGGTAAAGGTAATTAATTCCTTGTATGGAGACCATTTGTTCCTTTCAAGTGGGTCAAGGGTGAAGGACTCTACATGGTGGGCTGACTTGTATAGCATTGAAAATGATGGTTACCAACAACTAGATGACAAATAGGTGTAGAAAGGTGGTTGGAAATGGGAAAAATACATATTTCTGGGAGGAAGATTGGTTGCAAGGAGGTATGCTGTCACAAAGGTATAATAAATTGTATCACATTGAAGAAAATAAGAAAGCTAAAATCTCATATTTGGTAGTTTGGAGGAATGGAGGTCATGAGTGGTGTTGGAGATGGCGTAGAGAGTTATTTTAGTGGGAAGAAGATCTATTGAATTCTATTACAATATAAATCAATGAGCTAAATCTGAAGGTTGATGTAGAAGACTGTTGGAGTTGGATTATTGATCCCAGTGGCATTTACTCTGTCAAATTTGCATCTAAGGAGATTAGAAATGATAAGATTTTTGCATCCAATAAAATTCTTTCAAAAGTATGGTCACGGGTAGTTCCATCAACGGTTACAGCTTTCACTTAGAAGGTAATTCTTAACCGAGTTGCTACTAAACACAATTTGTTTATTAGAGGCATTTTGGACAATTCACAGGTTGAGTGCTCTCGTTGCACGAGCCACATGGAGACTAGATCACATATGTTTTTTGAATGTCATGTATCTTATTGTGTTTGGATGGATTATTTTAACTGGCTAGGCGTTAGCACAGTTATGCATAATAATTGTGCAATGCACTTGGAGCAATTCTCTAGTCTTTCTTTCTATAACTCTTATAACTCTCAAAAAAAGGATTGATGGATAGCTATTTGGTTAGCCATCATATGGACAGTGTGGTTGGCTAGGAATGAACTGGTCTTTTCTTCCACTCAAATATCTGTATTGGAGATGGTAGATTTGGTTAAAATTAGAACCTGGAACTGGTTAAGGACAAGGCATAAAGATTTTAAGTATGACTTTGCTTCTTGGTCTATGAATCCAGCAGCTTGCCTTTCCTAGGTAAATATATTCATGTGGTAAATAAGACTATTGGAGAAATCTAATTCTCCAAATTCTATTTCAAAACTATGGGTTAGATGTGATGGTCTAGCTTAGGTTCTTAGTTCTGGATCAGTATTTTTAATGGTGCATAGTACACATACCACATGTGGTATTTTTGTAATGGGTTGGAGTACTCCTTGTATTTCCTTTAATTTCAATTATTTGGATTATAAAAAAAATTACAATTTTCTATATTAATATAATAATAATAATAATAATAATAAGAATAATAATAATTTTAGATAATATGTTGAATGTTATATAATATATTTTGGATCAATATTTTGTGATTTTTGGTGAAAATTTTAAATTAGTTGTATTTTAAAATTCTCTATAACATTATTTTTAATAAAAAAAAACTTCTATCAAATATTAATAATTAGTATAAATATTTTATAGAAAGTTTAGCACAATAATTGGTTTTAATCAAATTATGTGATTTTTTTTATTTACAATTACTTTAAAATTGTAATAATTTAAAATTAATATTTTTTATTTTATTCAAAAATTAAATTACTTCTCTTATAAAATTTTCCATAATGTGAATTTTTCAATCAAATATTTACCATTAATATAAATATTTTATATGAATTTTTTTAAATATTTTTTAAAAATATACTGTAAGAGAATAACTTGATTTAATAAATATATTTTAAGAAATTAATTTGATTAATGTTATAGATTTTGATTATTTTAATTTATTATTATTATTATTATTCTATAATATAATTCTCAATTAAGTATATTATATGTAGACTCTACAATAGACTTTTAATTGAAATGGGTTGGTTTACTTGGGAGTTCTTCTTTTAGAAATTCTCTCAATCACACTAGTTTGATTCTTTTAATCTTCAAATCACCATTTATACATCATAAACAACTTATATTCACCAAAATAAACAACATGCAATCTCAATAAGATCTAGGACTATCATTTTTTTTTCTTTTAACACTAAGAAAGTCCAAAAACTTAGAACAATAATGCTCAATCTTTCAATTTTCAACATTCATGTCATCCAAAGACATGAACACATCAAATTCAACATATTCATTAAAGAAGATTAAATTACATATATTTCATCTTTGCACATCTTGTGCTAAGTGTGGAAAGATGTTAATATATTCATTTACTTATCTGAAAAAGAAAAAGAAATAGTTCTAGTAACATAATTATTTATTATTGGTTAAATTTATAAAAAAAATAAAATCAATGAAACTTGTTAAATAAGAATAGTAATTTTTTTTAATAATTTTTAGTCAATAATAAAAAAAATGCGTTTAAAATAATGTGTTATTATCATCTAATATTTCTTTCTTGATGTAATGTAATAATAATATATATATTTGAATATCAATTTAAAACTACATTCAATAGAAAAGTAAAAAAGAAAAAACAATGCATTCTGATGCAAAAAAAAAAATGTAAATGTAATTTTTTTTAAACCAGCTCACTCGATTAATTTTCAAATACATTTGTACATTTACATTTTATAGCCTTTGGAAAATGCTGGAGGGTAGGTAGGATCTGTCAGAAGGGTCAGTTTGGGTTGAACGTGACAAATCTTTACTTTTACATTGGATCTCATTATTAATATTCATGTGAGAAAAGAAAACACCAAGATAATCCAACCCAGTTCTTGAGGATCGAGCTTTCATGCCGAGGAATTCGGGGACAAGTCAAAGGAGAATGT